CATCTTTACAGTATCTAGCATCTAACTAGTACCAATAAGGAAGCTTGAAGAACATAGACTGCTTCTTTCAAATGTTTTTCTCAGTGGACTTCTTTTGCGTATTTTCGAACACAATATTAATGTTCTTCACTCACTCATATACTTTTTTACCATTGTGTGGTGTTTATGCAACTTCATTCTCTTGACATCCAATAAATGTTTTCTTCATTTTACAATATGGATAATTACAAACAAGGAACTTGTGATGCCTAGTGTACACATTCTTTTGTCCATATTTCAATTGAATATAACTCGTGTCTTCTTCATATAAAGGGAACATGCATAATGAACCTTCACATTATAACTGCTCAAATTATCATATGCTGAAAAATAATTTATTGTGCAAAATAACATTGCATGTAACCTAAAATTGACTTCGCAGTATGCATCAAAGATCTCCACTTTTATTTTCCACAATATTTTCAAATCATCAATAAAAAAACTAATATATACATCTATCATTTCCTTATTGTTGAGGTCCTAAAATCATCATAGACAACATAATATATTTTTTCTTCATACATAACTAAGGAGACAAATTATAAATGATCAACAAAATTGGGCATGAACTATGTTTACAACTTAAGCTCCCATAAGGATTCATGTCATTTGTAGTTAATCCAATTTTCATGTTTCTTGACACTGTTAGAATTATAGGTTGGGATCAAGAGGGGGGTGAATTGATCTTTCCAAACTTTTTAGCAACTTACAAATATAGATTAACAATTTTAAAGATTAAGAAACTTGATCAAGTATTGAACCAGGAAAACCAAACTGAATTGAATAAGATTAAAGTAGAATTAAAGAAAGTGATGAAAGAGGAAAAGAAACACTAAGAATTATACTTGGTTCACCAAAACCCCTGGGCTACATCCAATTCTCAACCAAATCCCAGTTGAGTTCCACTAGATTGAATAGTTTGATTTACAGAATCAAATTACAGACAATCCAACTTGTACCAAGAACCAAATTTCAGTTCTTGAATCCAACCTACAATGAAATTCCAGTTGTAGAACCAAATCTGCACTAAGAGCCAAATTCCAGTTCTTGAATCCAACCTGCAACCAAATTATAGTTGCAGAATCAAACCTGCACCAAGAATCAAATTTCAGTTGCAGAACCAGTGCTCAATCTTCCAGACACCAAGACAATACAGAATTGAAATAGAAATGAAAGAATAAAGAAACTACAACAATCAAATCCGATTATGTAGATGCAAAAATCTCACTACAGAATGAATTTCTTCACAAGCAAGAATACAATAATGCCTCAAGAAAGAACTTCGAAAATTCTCACTGAAAATAATGTGTTTCTTTCTTGAAAAGATCTCTATTGATTTCTTGAAAGATTTCTAAAAGATGTGTTTTAAAATGTTGAAGAAAATCTGTTTATATAGAGATTTATTTAACAAACTAGTTTAATTAATCGGTTAATTCATGTTTTAATCGATTAAAAAATCTTGTTTCTAACTTTTTTAACTGATGAAAATATCATTTAATCAATTAAAATGTTTTATAACACTTTGCAAAAATATTTTAACAGATAAAAGTGTGGTTTAATTGATTAAAACAGTTACACAAAAATCCTTAAGTGATTTTAATCGATTAAAATACTTGACGAACATGTTTACACCTATTTTAAGAGGTTTTAATCGATTAAAATGAATATGTATCGATCAAAACTGCGATAGAACATGTTTTCACTTATTTTAAGTGATTTTAATCAATTATTTTGAATATGTATTGATTAAAACTGCGACAGAACATACTTACACTTATTTTTAAATGGTTTTAATAGATTATTTCGAAAATACATCAGTTAAAAATGTGTCATAAGTGTTTTTAATTGATTTTAATCGATTAATCTATAAATATATCAACTAAATTTGAGACTCAAGAACATATTAACCGATTAAAAATATTTTTAACATATTAAAAAGTTTAGAGACATTTTTACTCTTTTCAAATTATAGAACCTCATGTTGTAGAAATGGATAGATGATTATACCTACTTATATTGATGCATACTCACTAAACATTGCATCCTTTATCCCATAAATCCTCTGACTTCATCAAATTTTCCCTTATTCCATAAATCTTTGACTTCATCAAATCTTTAAGATCTTCAATCTTCATTAGACTCTACACTAAATTTCATAAATGTTTCATCAATCGTCTTCCATTGTGGAGAATTTGCTAGATGCCGAAGAAGATTGCCACATTTTCTATCATTCGCATGTCATGTCATTTTTTTGCATCTTCTTTTATGACAAACAATATTTTAAACCTAGGTATTATTGACAAATACTATAACACCTTAGTAGGGGGTGATGTGGACATAAAAGCTCAAGCCATGAGAAGAAAGATGAATATCTAATTGAAGACTTAAATGGACTAATGACTAGAAAAACGGTTAGAATGACCCAAGAAGTTTTACAGCAGAAGGTGGCTCTTTTATGGGAGGCCGAATAGTCAAAGACCCAAGTCACTAAGGAGGCTAAGCTGGTTACATACGTAATAGGCTGGGAAAGTTAAAATAAAATTATGAGAGGTCCAATAATCAAAGATTCAAGCCACTGAGGAGCCTAAGCTAGTTACATGTCTAGTATAGGGGAGAGTTAAAATAAAAAAATATTTTATTTTTTGATGGAGTTGGGATTTGAATTGCAAGACCATTAATTTTATATTTAATTAGTTACCATTTGGGGAAAATTAAGTTTTTAAGTAATCTTAAACCCTAAATCTTTTTGCCTCAATTCTATTTAGAATTTTATTAGGGGGGGGGGGGGGTCATTTATTTCTTTCTCACAATTATTTCCATCAACTTTCGACAACCCACATGTTGGACACACCTTTAATGTAGTAAAATAATTTTTGTATAATATGCAATTATTAGGGTATGCATGTATCTTCTTCTTCTCTAAACCATTGGACATAATATCTTCTTCGCTTCATAATTACGATTATGTAATGTGTTATCTTCTGAAAGCATCTCCTTCAACAACTCTAATAATTTAGTAAAACTTGTATCAGTCCATTTATTTCTTGCTTTTAAACAGAACAATCTTAAAGGTGCTGAAAATCATGTAAAATTATATCTTAGGTACAATTGTTGCTCAAAATTAGACTTTAAAGAATTATATACATGTGTTTTTTTTTAATATTCTTCACCAATATCATGTATCATCTGCTCTAAATTATCATTCATCCATACTTCAAATTTTTTTGTTATTGTCTAATATTTCTCCTTGCCATGTCATATTGTATAACTTTTAACAATACCATACACAAACAAGTGATCATGTATATCCCTAAGTACGTGACAAATTTGATTCAAACAATGAACACATGAATATTAATATAATCCTTTCATAGATTTTCTATTTTCAAGAACAAATTGTAAAAACTCCTTAACTCCTTTTCACACTCTTCATTATTACGACATGCATTCATGTAACCTTGGTCCATAATTATTTATATGTTAAAAATTTTGTTACTCTTAGATATTCAAACACATTCATATTTACAATAATAATAATAATAATAATATATGGATAACAAAAAATATGGGACTCAAACAAATAAACAGTGGAAACGTAACAATGTAATGTAATAAATTGTACATGTATTGAAACGAATAAAAAGACAACCACAAACAATAATAATTCAATTTCAATAACAACATAGTGAAGGCATTCATGTAATATTGTGATTGATATATCTAAAAACAATCGTGAGTTTAATTTAAACATAAAACTAGAGACATATAACACTACCCTTAAGGATACCCAAGACGCTTTAAACTTAAGTCCAATTGGAGAAAAACGTCAATCACCATAAGTGAGACACAATATAGGTGTTGTCATCACTCATCATGGTCAAAAAATATCTTGGAGGTGCTGCAATAGTCATCATCGTCGTCAACTCAAAAACCTTCATATGTGTGAGGAAGATGAATCCTGAATGAAATGAAACACAACTTTTACATCAAACTTTGTTGAGGACGATGTAAAGAAATAAAAGACACTTAAGAGATAGATAAAGATGATTAATTATGTTTTTAGTTCTTGGATAAATAATATTTTAGTTCCTCAATTATCATTTTTATATATATTGTCTCAAATTTAATAAAATATCATTTTAGCCGTTAAAAATAAATTTGAAGGATTATATAGTTTAAAAATTTTATTTTAGTCTTTTAAATGTATTATTTAGGGACTAAAAATAATTTTTATTTTAAAATTTTAGAGACTAAAATAAATATTTATAAATTTGAAAGACTAAAATCATAATCACTCGTAATTTAAAAGACTAAACAATGACAAAATTTGAAAGGCTAAAATCATAATCACTCATAATTTAAAAATGACAAAAAAGAGTTATATTAGTTTGATTTCATGAATCTACACCTAATTCAATTTAAGTAATGTTAATTAAATTATTCTACTAAATTCTTGAATGTTCAAATTACTTACACACCTTAAATACACTATGCAAGCAACCCTTGAGAATGAAAACGAAGCACTACACAAAGTGTAGAAGCACGTTAAATACACTAATTGAATTTTTCTTATAAAATAGTTTAAATTTATAAAGTTCCATTCAAAATAGAAAATAAATTAATACTTTATCATATTATTTTATTTATTTAACCGATAATATGCTATTTAAAGTATTAGTTAATTCAGTTTATATCACATATATTTCAACAAATTCCAATCTATTTGAAATTTGAGTGCAATCAATTAAAAGAATGTAAAGATAAAGCAAGGTTAAAGGTAAAGAAGGGATAGAATAACGTGGAACTTTTGCAATTTGGTTCCTTCACTTTTTTATGCATAATGTTTAATTTGATACAATAGTTCACGTAAACCTTTGGTATATGTATACAAATATCCTTCATTGTCTTCAAGTTCTGACAAAGCCACAAAACTTCTCACCAATCTATCTCAGTGAGGGAAAATGTCTATCAGAACAAACCGCATGAAAGCAGTGCCTTCACTGCAGAGACGGTTGATATCAGTTAAGAGCAAACAAGTCTCTCATATAGCTGATAAGCTCGACAAGTTGATGTCTGATCTTAATAGCATAAAATATTTGTTTTCCATAGTGAAAAGTAACGAAGAAGAACTCCTTGACACGTTAAAAATTGTGGATGACCTTCTCCGCAACTTCAGAACAGATAAGTTCTTCGAGATTTCCAATCGCATTTTGCATTCAGATGATGCCACAAATACCAATCTACAAAAGGGTAAGTGTAAGCACTTCAAATTTATATATCTATCTGTGTATAGATGTGTTAGTAATATCTTTTTCAAATTATAGGAACTAAAAGGATAATTTAAAATTTATAAGACTACAACAGCAAAATTAGTTCATCTTGAGAAAGTAAATATATATTTTATTTGGTATAGTATGCTTCATGTTCTTTACAATTACCCATAATGTTAGTTGGGAATGAGATGATGCTCTCGGATATTGACATATGTCCTACTGTCAATATAATTTGAGTCATTTGATTCTCCCCTAATAATTCCAATTTGATGACTACATGAATGCATGAAACTCTGAAGTTGTAACGATTGATGAAAAGTTGGAGAATTTGAAGTGCGCGCTAAACAACTTGAAGGCTATGTTTTTAACACTGAAGAAAACCGAAGAACTATGGGAAAAGTTCAGAGAAGTGGAAAATTCTCTTCAAATCATCAACTCGAAGCCTGCAGAAGATGCAAGTCAAAGTGAGACAAAAGCTTTAGAGCAACCAGGCCAAACATTAAGGGAGGAGTTGGTGGATCAAGCCTTCAAAGTCACTGGTATATATGTTATCTGTAAAACCATCAACATCATTTATATCTGATATATATATATATATATATATATATATATATATATATATATATATATATATTGTTTTGTATTTTTCACACTTAAAAAGTATTTATAGAGAAATTTCTCCACTTATATATCACATTGATATCCGTACTCTATCTGTGTTAATAGGTATTGATAAGCCACCTTCAAGACAAGAGGTACCAGACAAGACGAGTACTGCAGAAAAAGATATACGGATTGATGAGAAGTTTGAGAGTTTGAAGTCCAAGATAGAAAAAATCAAAGGGATGTCTTCCACATTAAAGGAAAACGAAGAACTCCGGGAAAAATTACGAGTCGTGGAAGATCTTCTTCGAAACTTCAATGCTAAAAATTTACCTGAGAATGTGAAACCTATTGAAGATTCTATTCAAAATGAAACAAAAAGTTCAGAGCTACCAAGCCAAGCATCAAGAGATGACTCGTTGGATCAAGACTTCAAATCCTCTAGTAAAAACATCAGTTTCATTTTTATATATGCATATATAGAAAAGAGTTGCGAATAAAGTCTCATCAACAATCTCTAATATTCTATTTTTCTTATTGGTTAGAATTTGTTGAAATCTATAATATTATGTGTGAAATTCAATAAATATAATATGAGACATACAAAATTTTGTATTGTTTTCAATATATTTTAACCAATATCAATGTGTATGTTCAAAAGATGATGTGAGAGACAATATTGATTTCTTTTTCCATTTTAGTAATAAGCATAAATTTATCTGTTATGACATGAAATATGTATCTGAGTGACATTTTTTTTCTATGCTCATAGATGTTGATAAACCATCTTCAAGCAAAGAGCCAAAAGACGAAAATAGTGTCAAAAAAGATGTAACAATTGATGAAAGGTTGGAGAGTTTGAAGTTGAAGCTGGACATCATGAAGGTCAAGCTTTCCACAATTAAGGAAAATGAAGAACTGCATGACATGTTAAGAACCCTGGAAGATCTTCTAAACTTTGACCAAAAAGGTTTGGCTGAGATTGTTAAGCCTGTAGAAGATGCAAACCAAAGTGAAGCTAAAGGTTCAGAGCAAACAAACCAAAAGTCAAGGGATGAGTTGGAGGACCATGCCTTCAAAGGTATTTGTAAAAACATCAGTGTCATAATATACGGGAATAACCATACATTATCACCATGGTTTAAATTATGGTTATAATAGAGATTATAGTATGGTCATAATCCTTTACAAGGTGAATAATTGCAGAAAATTGTGATTTCAAGAGATTACAGTAGCAGAATTGTTGTAATCCTTAACATGGTGAAAATTTTCAGTAATATGTGACAGCAATCACGACATGTTACAATAACTCGAAAATCTTTTTTGTTTCATTTTTAATTGTCGTTGCAGACTGATATTTATTTGCATATTGTTTGATACCTGTATTCTATAATCTGTTCTTGTAGTTGTAGATAAGCCATCTCCAAGCGAAGAGGCAAAAGACAAGGAGAGTGTGGAAAAGTATGTATTAGTTGATGAAAAGTTGGAGAGTTTGAAGTCTGAGATAGAGAACATGAAGGCGAAGTTATCCACATTGGCAAAAAATGAACTCTTGACCATGTTAAGAGCCCCAGAAGATCTTCTCCAAAACACTGACACAAAATCTCAGGTTCGGAATGTCGAGCGTGTAGATTCTACGGAGGGGCGGGTGGAAGAAGTGGTGAAAGCCATTAGTAAGAAAATCAAGGACTCAGCTAAAAAGCTCGGTGTTATAACAAAAGCTAATGAATCATCAGACCAAGGAAAAGCATCTAAAGTAGTGCATTACCCCATACTATCTTTAAGCCCAGACCATGAGGATGTGAATCTAGTCTTGAAAAGGTTCCAGGCTAGTTATGATGCCCTTAATTCTCATTCAAAAGTTTGTTGCTTGTCTCTATCAGTTTTCCCTGAAAATGTTGTCATAAAGAAAAGGCATATAATTTATTGGTGGATTGGAGAGGGTTTTGTCAAAAATGCAACAAAGAGTACAGCTGAAGAAGAAGGTGAGGCTGTTTTTGATGAGCTTTTGAATTCTAATCTCATTTTAGCACATGGTAAGCTTAAGTGTCCCGTTGTGAATAAATTTAAAATTAATCCTTGGATCCGCCACATGTTGGTATCATCCATTCTAGGAAAAAATAAACAACCCTTTGGATTTTATTCACAAATAATAACCCCTTCCCATCATAATGATGTTCATGCTTGCTTAGTACTTGACCAACAAAAAGTTGAAATAGGTGGTGAGTTTGGTTCGAAATCTGACCATTGGCGAAGTGTTTTCAACGTTGGAGCAAGTTATCTTACTATTGAACCTCAATGGATGACTAAAATGAATAAGTTAGTGGTGCTTCAACTTGGTCGTTGGCAAGAATCTTCTTCACATCACATTGAAGTTAATAGTGAAAAATTCATGACAGACTTGAAGGCTCAAAAGCATCTGAAATATCTCAGCCTTCGTGGTATATCAAGAATATCAGAATTGCCAGAGACTATTTCTCAACTTGTCAGCCTACAAATTCTTGATCTCAAGGCTTGTCACAATCTCGAAACCCTACCTGTTGAAATTACATTGCTGAAAAAGCTCACGCACTTGGATGTGTCCCAGTGCTACTTGTTGGAGAGGATGCCAAAGGGGATTGAGAAGCTCACTGAGCTCCAAGTACTCAAGGGATTTGTAGTAGGCAGTTCCAGCAAGACTTCTAGAATATCTGATCTTGTAAACTTGAAAAAATTAAAACGACTTAGCATACACATTGGAAGTGAGGCTGTTATCCAGGATAGAGAGTTTGAAAGGCTAGTTGAATTGTCAGAAGTTAAATGTCTCAAAATATCATGGGGTGTGTTGTCTAACACGAAGTACAAAGATTTTGAGATCTCTCTTCCAACAAGTTTGGAAAAGTTGAGCCTTGAAAGCTTCCCTAGTGAGAAAACTCCAGAATGGTTGAAGCTTAATATCCTAAATGGTGAATTGAAGAGGCTATACATAACAGGAGGAAAACTCACAAGTTTAGATATTAAAAGTTTTGGAGGAAAATATTCTACTGTGGAGATCTTGCGTCTGAAATACCTAAAGCGTCTTCAAATTGATCGTGAAAAATTGAAAGAGATGTTTCCTTCTCTGAAGTATGCAGAGGTCAAACAAGTCTCAAATCAGTCCTTTGAATGGGACGAATAATAACCGTTAGACAACTGTACTTAATATTATAACAATATATATGTTATTTATATTATTAAATACAGTTAATTACAATGGTGAAAGTGCGTTCATTTTATAAAATGTTTAATGCATGTAATTTGAAGCTAAATCTAGTTTACACAAATTAATTGTGTATACTTATGATTCCATGTAATATTTAGCATGTTCCAATTCAGAGTGAAGAAAAGTTCAGGAAAAGATATCAGTAAGTTGTATGGTAGGTCAATAACAATATTGTAACTAAACTTTGTGCCTTTGCATGCATGTATTGTTATTATATTTTCTTTTATATTTCTCGATCATTTCTCTTTCTTGTATTGAATTAATTAACATATGTCACTCACTTCTAGCTAGCTCCACCACAAAAGCTTAACTTGTTATCATTAACAAAAAGTTATTTGATATTTGTTTTCCTGAAAGGTGTCTACACTTTCTGACCAAAGGTCTTTCATACGCACATCATCATCGAATAGAAAATGTTGGTTTCGTTTTTTAAAATATTTTTCTATGCAATTAAATCAAAATTTTCACATGTGAATATATTTATTCTTTTATTATCAATTCAACTCTTAAAAAATAGATTACTTGTATGTTTTTGAAATGGGAGAGCTACAGATAGAAAATGAAGTACATTCCATATTATTGATAGAAAATCTGTAATGTTTATATACAGTAGAAATAACAGAGTAGAACAGAGAACGTGAACAAAACAGAAAAAAGAACTGAAAGAAACCCATGCACGTAATGCATGCCCCATGCACGTAATACCCATACACGTAACTACCCATCATGCATTTTGACGTAAATCTCAACATGCCTACTTAAGTCAAAATTGAACAACTCTCAGAGACTCTCTGAGTTTACAAAATCTAGCAGTCTTCAAAGGCTTTGTAAAGATATCTGCACTCTGATCTTCTGTACTGCAGTGTTCTATTTCAAGCTTCTTATCATTAACCTGCTCTCTCAAGAAATGAAACCTCATTTCTATATGTTTGCTTTTTCCATGAGCTGATGGGTGTTTAGCTAAGTCTATTGCAGACTTATTATCAACAAACAATGTTGGTGGTTGGACCAATTCTGCATTCAGCTCCTTCAACAGCATCCTGAGCCATGCAGCTTGACATGCAGCCTGTGCAGCAGCTATATACTCTGCTTCACAGGAGGAGAGAGCCACCACGGGTTCCTTGACTGAATTCCAGGACACTGGTCCTTCGCCATAGTAAAATATGTGACCTGCAGTGCTTTTTCTATCTTCCCTGTCACCACACCAATCTGCATCTGCAAATCCCACCAATTTCATCTCACCCCCTGGCTTCTTGCATGGAAACATTATACCAAAATTACACGTTCCACGCAAATAGCGTAAGATACGTTTTACGACATTCATATGGCTAACTTTCGGGCTCTGCATATATCTACTAACAATGCCAACACCATAGCTCAAATCAGGTCTGGTGTTACACAAGTATCTCAGACTCCCAATGATTCTGCGAAATTCTGTGTGATCAACATCTTCCTCCTCAGTGTACCTTTCTAATCTCAGACCCATTTCCGTTGGAGTTACTGCAGCATTGCAATCCTTCATCCCGAACCTGCTGAGAAGATCTCGTGAGTACTTCATCTGATGCATAATAGTTCCAGCTTTTGTGAACTGAAACTCAATGCCTAGGAAATAGCTGAGTCTTCCCAAATCACTCATCTCAAATTCACTATGCATTTGAGATTTAAACTCTGCAATTGCTTCTGGCTTGCTCCCAGTCAACAACATATCATCTACATAGAGACATACTATCATTTTCTCTTCTCTGTCTTTGTCTTTCCAGCACTTGATGTACACCCCTTGTTCGGAAACACATCTCACAAAACCAATCTTCTCCAAGTACTGATTGATCCGATGAGTCCAAGCTCTAGGAGCTTGTTTAAGCCCATAGAGTGCCTTATTAAGCCTGTATACCTTGTGCTCTTCTCCTTTGACTATGAATCCCAATGGCTGTGTTACATATATTTCCTCCTCCAAATAGCCATTTAAGAAGGCAGATTTTACGTCTAGTTGGTGGAAAGACCAACCCTCCCACGTTGCCATTGCTACAATGATTCTAACAGTCTCCAGTCGAGCCACAGGAGCATAAATTTCTCCATAATCTACTCCTGCTTTTTGAAGAAATCCTTTGGCAACCAATCTCGCCTTGTACCTCACAATTTCACCCTTGGGATTTACTTTTATTTTATATACCCATTTCAGAGAAATTGGTCTTCTGTCTAGTGGTGGTTCAACCAGTGTCCACGTCTTGTTTTTCTCTATGGCTTCAATCTCTTCCTCCATGGCTCGCACCCAATGAGTATCTCGAATAGCATCATAGAATTCTATCTGATCTGCCTCAGCGATCAGAGCGAAATGCACAAAATTTCCATTCTCCGTTACCGCTAGATCATTGAAAACCTCATAATCCTTGAAACGTGTAGGTGGTTGAGTAACTCGCTGTGATCTTCTTGTTTGTTCATGAGGTTCATGATGCACTGTTACATCACCTACGACATTATCAGTTAGTGAAATTGTTGGCGTTGTACCTGATTGATTTATTTGACTCGTTTCCTGCCAGTTCCAACACGAGCCTTCATCAACCACCACATCTCTGCATATGATTACCTTTCGAGAGTTTGGATCAAACAATTTATAGCCGCCTGTTACGTGATAGCCAATCAAGACTGCCATAGCACCTTTGTCATCAAGTTTGCTACGTGTTTGATCTGGAATGTGGTGATAACAAAGAGATCCAAAAACTCTCATATGAGTTACATCTGGTTTCTGACCAGACCAGGCTTCCTCTGGTGTTATACCATCAAGCTTCTTTGTCGGTGAGCGATTCAAAACATAGGCAGCAGTTGAAACCGCTTCTCCCCAGAGATATTTTGGAACGCCCTTACTTTTAAGCATGCACCTTACCATATTAAGTAGAGTCTGATTCCTCCTTTCTGCAGTACCATTATGTTGTGGCGTATATGGTGGTGTTGCCTCATGAGCTATACCATTTTCAGTACAAAAATTCTTGAATTCAAGAGAGTTGAATTCTCCCCCACCATCAACACGAAGTCTCTTCAACTGCTTGCCACACTGATTTTCAACCAGTGTTTTGAATCGCACAAACACTTTAAACGCTTCACTCTTCTTTCGCAAGCAATACACCCATAACATTCTCGTGTAATCATCTGTGAAAGTAATAAAATACTTGCTGCCCCCAGGTGTTTCAACCGGCAATGGACCGCAAATATCTGAATGTATTAGCTCAAGTTTCTCCGAAGTTTTCAATGATACCTCTTTACTGAATTTGTTCCGCGTTTGCTTGCACTCCATACACTCTCTACATACTTCGTCTGGAACACACATATGAGGAATACCAACTACCATTTTCTTCTGTCCAAGTTCTCTCAAGTCCCGAAAGTTAAGATGTCCAAATCTGAGATGCCACAGCCATTCGCACTTGTCACTGACAGCAGCAAAACACTGGTGCTTCAAAACATCCATCTTAACCTGAAAGGTTCTATTGGAGGACAAACCGGCATGTATGACCAGCTTCTGGGTTTGATCAAATACACGTAAAGAATTATCTTCAAGTGTCATCTTGAAACCTCTTTGCATCAACTGGCCCAAGCTCAGAAGGTTTGATTTCAACCCGGGAACATATAGAACATTTTCAATTATCATGTCCTTGCCATCACTGTTTCGCAACACAACTCTACCAGTTCCTTTTGCTGTGAGAGAACTATTATCTGCGAAACGTATCTTTTCTTGACTTATATCACTTATTTGCACGAACCAATCTTTCTTCCCGGTCATGTGCGTGGAACACCCAGAGTCCAAGTACCACAAATTTTCACCATCGAGCTTCGCATCTGTCTCTGCCATCAACATGACAGCCTCTTCATCATAATTTTCTTCCTCTGCAAGATGAACTCGCGCATTCTTCTTTGGTCTGTTCTTGGCTCCGTCACCATCCCAGCAGTCTCGTGCATAATGCCCGAATTTTTGACAGTTATAACACTTGACTTTTTTCTTGTCATACTTCTTCTCTTTATCTTCTCCAGAATTTTGTTTCTGGTCTTTGTACTTCTGCTTATCTGAATCTCCCTTCTTCTTTGTCTTAGTTCCTTTCTTGGAATCTCTTTTCTGCTTTCCATTTGTTCTTGCATGAAGAACCTGCTCTTGATAGGATCTCCGCTCAGACATCCGCAACTCGTGAGCTTCGAGCGAATGTTGCAGCTCCTGAAAGGTCAGTGCATCCAGATCTTTCGTCTCTTCAATAGTAATTACAAGATGATCAAATCTTGGAGGAAGTGACCGCAAAACCTTGTTCACGATATTCTGCTCAGACACTTTGTCACCGCAAGAACGCATGCCATTAACAAGTTCTTGAACCTTGTTGAGGAACCCAACCACCGAATCACTTTTTTCCATGATGAAGAACTCAAATTGCCTTCGCAGAGCCTGTAACTTCACTTTCTTATGTTTATCCCCCGCACCATACGTAGCCACCAAGATATCCCACGCTTCTTTGGTTGTGCCAGCCATGGAAATCCTATTAAAGATCGGTGAACTAACACATTGATAGATCAAGTACCTTGCCTTGCCATCTAACTTTTGTTGAATCTTGTAAGCCTTCTTATCATCCTCAGTAGCCCTCACACCCGGTGGTGAAACACCATGTTCAACAACTTCAGCCACATCTTGAAAGATGAAGATCGCATTCATCTTAATCTTCCAATCGTTGAACATGCTACCATCAAAGATAGGTAGACCCCCTTGTATCATCCCACCCATATCAGCCATGCTACACCACAAACCAAGACACCACTCTTTCAACTTCGTTGAAAAAATGCACTCTCACTAAACTGCACCACACTCAGCGTCTGATTTTGTTGCAGGCACACACAACTCACGTCCTTGGACTGTAAAAAGCTCTTGATACCATGAAATGGGAGAGCTACAGATAGAAAATGAAGTACATTCCATATTATTGATAGAAAATCTGTAATGTTTATATACAGTAGAAATAACAGAGTAGAACAGAGAACGTGAACAAAACAGAAAAAAGAACTGAAAGAAACCCATGCACGTAATGCATGCCCCATGCACGTAATACCCATACACGTAACTACCCATCATGCATTTTGACTTAAATCTCAACAGTTTTTTTCTGACGTATAGACTAATTAATCATTAAATTTTATTTTAAGAAAAATCTTAAATAAGTTTTGCGATATTGTACAACTTTTTGTCCTTTATTTTAGAATAATCTTCGTACAAGATTGAGGATTTTCTTTTATTTTTAGAATTTGTATTATTTTTCCACACTACCCTATAAATTCCAGTAATTTTGAACGTAATTACTCAAACTTAGTTTTTTATAACATTCATTTATCATCTTAATATTTATTTCTTAATCTAAGAACAATTTTTTTAATTAATTATTTTCCACGTAAATCATGCATTTAATATATTTTCATTACAAACATAGCATAAGTTAATTTTTTTAAAAGAATTTGTTACATTTTGCATAATTTTAGCATAAAAAATATATGCATACATCCACATCTCTTTTTTTAAGAGAAAAGTAATTGGAGATTGGTCAAATTAATAAAAATAAAGGCTCAAATTGATGTAGTCGAACTTCACTCTTCTCGAATATCCAATATAAAGTTCTATTTTGTATAATCACTTATAGAACGTTATAAATAAGCATTTTGAATGAACAAATTAACTTGTGTATGAATCCAATTTAGCTAAATTAAAGATAAGTGGAAATCAAGAATAAAATGTAAATTAGTATTGAATCACTCAAAATAGAAAAAAAGTGAACTATTTTCTTCAAATCAATCTCAAAATTTTCTCGTCACAATAATCCAATTTTATAATTTTTAATTTATAAAATATTTGATTTTATTGTAATTATTTTCGTGTTTAATTCTTCTTGTTCAATCTCTTAAAAATACAAGTCCGATGACTACACAATCACAATCTCTTGCTTCGAGGCGAACTATTGTTTTATCTCGTCCTTGTTTGCTTTTCCGTTCTCAGCTTTTAGTTAGATGAATTCATATGTTGTTATTGTAGTACTTTTGGTTTGTTTTCTTTTATTTAATTTGTAATTTCTATTGAATTTTTCAGTTTATAATATGTTGTTTACTTTATTCATTCCGTACTTATTTTAATTTATGTTATTTAATTGTTTAGAATTTTTATTTTATTTTAGTACTGGCTTAATTTTTATTTTCATCTATTTTCCAATTCCAATTTTAATTCTCAATTTAACTTTAGAATTATGGCTTTCATAACTTTTAAATTTAAAATTGTGCTCTTTTATGCTAAAGTAATTTTTTATTTTGCACTTTTTTCTCACAATTTTTGAATTTAATTAAAAACAATTTATTTTAATTTTATAAATTTTAGTTATTTAATTATTCTTCAATTTAATTTTGATTATCCTTATCGTTCTATTATAATTTTTATTATTCTATGTCAATTTATTTTTTTCACTCTCTCGTCACACACCTCTATTTATTGTTATTTAATGTATTTTTAGAAAGAAAAAAAATGATACGTAACAATGAGTAACAATGAGTATGTTGTTATAATTATGTCATTGTGAGATTTGATAAGAATTAGTTGTACTACATTAGTTTAATAACTTGTTTATTATTTTTTATTAGTATTTTGTACTATTGGATCGTTGTTGTCAAATATAATATTAATTATTTTTTCGTGAATCTAGCTTAATTTATTTAGTTTTCTATGCTTTGAATTGTATATTTGTTATTGTCACGTGAATTATTTGTTTTTTAAGTATTTTTTAGAGTCAAATTACTTGTGTTATAGTTTCAGTTGTTGTCACTTAATAACTTTCGCTTGTTACCTAAGAAAATACTTTTATTCAAGTAAGGCATACAGTCGGAGGATAGCAAACCGGCCCAATCATTGCTGAGCAAACTTAATCTGTCTTGATATTGTATCGTTTACTAAACGTGATTTTGGGGTAGTAAAAAATTTTGAATTCTTTTATTGGTTCCATCATAATATATATATATATATATATATATATATATATATATATATATTATCATTAGGATTAATTATTGATTATTTTGAAATTCTAGTTCTCATGGTTTGTCTTTAAAAATGTCTTTAAATTTTAAAAAATGTCTCTCAAAGAGAAAGACATATAATAATAATAATAATAATAATAATAATAATAATAAATTATTATTGATTTTGGTGATTTGTATATGGGTTGGTATTTAATATCCTCTTAATATAATATATCTATTTTTTTGGCTGAAAAAAAAAATTTTCTCCAATCCCTGTTTTTCTTCTTGAAACGCAGACTCTTCATTTTTCTTCATTCGCCTTTTCCACGTCAATTTCATTTGCATGCATTTTAATTTCATGAAAATTATACAATATTATATTTGGTAGATGCAATGTTACACTACATTTTTGAAATTTTTGAAAGTCTTCGTACTTTCAATCGAATTATACATATTGCATCAAATACTTGGTTCGCAAATTTACGTATAGAAAAGTTCGCAGTTGGAATAAGATAAGAATTGACTTCCCAAATTTTTTACATCATTAAATTCATGATTTTCATTATATCATAATGTTGGTATTAAATTGTTTAAGGACATGGATATTGATGTTTCTATTAAAAATAAAGCTGAAAACAAAACATATATATATAGAGAGAGAGATCAATCAGAATCAGACTTTTTTGGTGATCTGCTCAGCTATCCAACCTGACAGGGTTGCAGCGACAAAAGGATTACCATGGCAATGATAAGCCACACAATCAATCTTTTCCTGAGTGATTTCCACAGGACTCTTAAAAACATGCCTTTTCAAATACTCTTTCACAACCTCCTTCAAAATTGTGTCATCCCAAGGCCCAAGATGAATCAAATTCTCTTCATGCACCAATTTAGTAGTCACCTCCTTTTGTCTGCTGGTGACAATGACAGCACCACCAGTGTGCTTGGGCAAGGCTTGGGAAAAGAGTAGTACCTTGCTCGTATCACCACCACTTTCATCAACATATAACAAATCATTAAACCAATCGTTGCAGTGCCACACACCATCCAACACAATCAAGTACTTCTTCTGAGCCATGAGTTTATCATGAAGTTTATTCACCAGCCAATTATCTTCAGGTTCCTCCGTCAATAAATCAGGATCATCATCCAGAAGTTCCAAAATCTCCTTGACAATCCTAATATCCATTTCTTCGCGTGATTTCAAGTCGTACAAACACACCCATATTGGCTTCTCGTACTTGCGTCTGACACGTGGATCGTTCAGAACCCTTTTGGCAACAGTTGTCTTTCCGGTGCCACACATTCCGTGAACACCTATGGCCTTGAACCCATCATTGGGTTGAAGCCAATCCACAATCTTTTCGATTTCCATGTCGAATACTGAAAGTGTTGGTGTATCATTTATTGTGAGGTACATGCATGAAGAGTATAAGGTGGAGGTTGAGTTTGCATTCACTTCGGACTTCTCCATGCTGAGGAGGTTGTGCTTGATATTGTTCAACACCCTCTCGTTGGTACGTACTAGATCAAGACGAGAGAACTTGGAGAAGATTCTCTTGTTTGATCGACACTCGGCAATTACATGATCCATTTGGTACAAATCAGAGAGGGACGCAGCAGGTGGTGGTGACCAGAATCCCTTGTTCTCTATGAATTCATTTTTTATATCATTCAATAGGGAATTGATAGTAGGTGATGGGCTAGTAAACTCACTATCTTGGACAGATACCAAGAAGTTTTCTTTAAGGAATTCAGCCATGTCTGAGGCCATGATTGAAGGAGGGAGCTTGGGATGATGATGATGATGATTGAGAGTGCAAACAATGAACTCTTGGTTCACTTTATTTCAATCTTGATATGTTGAAATGCCTCGGATACCATGCTAAAGGAAAGAGTGTTGATATTTTCACAATCATTCCATAACTTATTTTTAAGTTTTTATATTATTATTTATCTATTTTATTTTATTCTCCATTAATAAAAAATAATATTTTAAGGTTGTGAAATGTTATTTATAACAATGAATTGTAAAAAATCCTTTTTCTAAAAAATATATTAATATTTTAACATAAAAAACCAAAAATATTCATTTAACAACTCACTTTTATATATTTAACAACTCACTTTTAGATATTTATAATATTATTTGTGTCTCAAATGTCTATCTATCACAAAAACTATAAACTTGGAATTAGATTCTTTTCTTGGAACGAAGAATTTAAATATCATTTCTTTCTCGAGGGGAAAAGAATGATACCACTTTTTGATAACCACATTATTTAAATAAGATCCTTGTCTTGATAATTTTCTGGGTGTTTCTTGATAATTTTCCGTAGAAATAAGCGTCGGAATAGGAACCATGCAAGGCGTGGTAGGATCTCATAACTGAGGTTTGAAGATGCAACAAAAAATTATTAAATTAGTATAAATTTTGAAATATCTATTTTAAAAGAAAATAATTTGTATTTTATGTATATTATATCATATTTATTAAAATGGTTGGCTTAAAAAATCATCACACTTGCATAAAATAAATTAATTGCAAATATTTAAATAACTTAAGTTTGAGCTCAAGATATACGTCACAGCTCAAGTTCATATGTAATCTTTTTTTTTTTCTTATCTAAGAGAATTCTCTACTTAATTATCCATTTAACATGTTTTTATTTAAAGAATAACATAATTCCATTTCTTAATTTGTTGTATTTTTATATAATTTTAACATAAAAAATAATAATATACATGTATACATCTACAATATATATTTTTCTATTTTTTCGTAAGAAAAAAGTAATTTGAGATAGATCAAATTGATGAAAATAAAGATCGAAATTGATGTAATTGACTTTATTTTTCTTGGAAGTCAAGTTTGTTTGTATAACTTGATGATAGCATTTTGATCGCGTAAAATACTAATAAAAAAATAATAAATAAGTTGTTAAACTAATGCACTATAGTTAACTCATGTTGAATTTCACAATGAGACAATTATAGGAACATACTCATTACTACATATCATTCTTTCTAAGACAAGTAAATAACATTAAATAGGGGGTGGATGAAAGAGTGAAAAAATAAATTGATGCAGAATAATAAAAACTAAAATCGAATCTAAATAATATTAACGATAATTAAAATTAAATGGAAGTAGAATTTAAATAACTGAAATTTATAAATTTAAAATAAAGTATTTTTATTAAAAAGTGCAAGAATAAAAAATTACTTTAAAACAAAACTGTAAAGTAATGAAAATTAAATTAAAGTAAAATTTAAATAATTAAAATTTATAAAATTTAAATAAAGTGTTTTAGTTAAAAGTGCAAGAATCAAGAATTTTAAAAAATAAAATAATGCATTAATTAAATTTAGAATTTCTTAAAACAATAACTCTAAAAATACATTGAGAATTGGAATTGAAAAAGAGATGAATTGAAAATGAAAATTAAGCAAGAATAAAAATTATAAACAATTAAATAAAAGATATTAAAATCAAGCATTAAATGAATAAAGTAAACAAAAATAATATAAACTGAAAAATTTAATAGAATTTGCAAATTAAATAAAAGAAAACAAATCGAAGTGCAGTAGTAGTAGATGAACTTGTCTAACTTAGAACTAAACTAAAAATTAAGAACAGAAAAGAAAACACTACAAGAAAAAACGGTTTTAGCGACCGAAACAATCGGTCGCTAATGGCAAAAAATCGGTCGCTATTCTGTTAGCGACCGAAATTAGCGACCAAAATGGTTGGTCGCAAAAGGGCAAGTCGCTAAATCGTTAGCGACCGATTTACAGATCGGTCGCTAATTAGCGACCGATCAGTGGTCGCTAAAGTGGTCGCTAAATAATTTGGTCACTTATTCTTTGGAGACCAAAATAGCGACCAAAAATAATATAATAAATCGGTCGCTAAATCCGTGGTAAAATTTTAAAAAATAGAGACCGATATATTCGGTCGCTAATATATTAATATAATTATTTAAATAATAATTAAAATCGGTCGCTAAATTGGTCGCTAAATTGGAGACAAAGTTTAAAATAATAGCGACGGATATTATCGATCGCTAATATATTAATTGAATTATTTAAATAATAATTTAAATCGGTCGCTAAATTTGTCGCTAAATTTGAATTGTATATTATAATAAATTTGTAGCGACCAAAAATTCGATCGCTAATCTAACCAAATCTGAAAATTTTCGTTTAAAATTTTGTATATCCAATTTGACAAAATTTGTACCTGTTTAATTCATCCAAACATAACACAAATAAAAACTTAAAAACTAAAGTCAAATTATTCAAATAATAAAATTTGTACCTGCTTAATTCATTCAAACATAACATAAATGAAAACTTAAGAACTAAAGTCAAATTTTGTATATCCAATTTTACAAAATTTGTACCTGCTTAATTCATCCAAACATAACACAAATGAAACTTAAGAACTTAACAACTACTCAAGATTCAAAGTCTTAATATCATAAAATTGAAAATTAGTCCTCTGGTATATTGTCAGTATCATGTTGACTAGTGTCATGTTGACTTGTAGTAGGATGACTATTCATTTCACTACAAGAAAAACATCAAATAGTGACCGAAAATTCGGTCACTAAATCTACAAAATCGGTTACTAATTAAAATAGTGACCGAAATAATGACCAACTGGAATCGATCACTATTTCCTTGGTCACCGATTTTAGTGACCGATTCAGTGACCGATTTAGTGACCGATTTAGTGACCGAATCGACTGATTCGATATGACCGAATCCAGATCGATCCGAATCAATGAAAAAGTTAATCAATAACAAATTTAATTCTTTTTATTTATTTACACTTTTATTATATCTATTATTTATTTTCCCTATTTCTTAATTATATTATATTTTGCTTATTTAAGTTTTTATTTATATTTATTTCCCCTATCTTTATTATATTTTTTAGAAGTTTAACTTATTATTAGGTGGTTTATTGTCATTGTCGGATTCGAACCCGGTACCTTAGAGTTGGAGGCCGAAACTCCAACCACCGAGCTACTAGGATCTTTTAATAATAACTTACAAATAAATTATATTTATATACAAATAAATGTATATCCGTATAAATATATAAATATAAAATCTATAAATAAAAATATATTTATATATTTTAATATATAAAATCTACAAATAATGGTATATTAGTATAGTATCGTATATTTGTATTCTAATTTTTAATTAAATTAAAATTATGCTAATAATGTATATTAATATATGAGGGGATAATATTGATATATTTGTATATATATATATATATATATATATATATATATATATATATATATTATATATATTTATATATTTATATATTGATATATTTATATATTAATATATTTATATTTTTATATTTTGATATATTTATATATTGATATATTTATATATTTATTTATATCCTTATACATTTATATCTTTATATATTTATATATTTGAAAAAAAAATATTAAATTTTAAAAATAATATTATATTTTTAAAAATAAATATTAGAAAAAGATTTAAAAATATATATAAATTATATTTACATTTACAAAATATTAAAGATATATGTTTATATCTTTACATATTTATATATATTTATATGTTTATATTTTTACATATATTTATATCTTTCCATATTTATATATTTATATATAAAGATATTAGTTTTGTATACAAATAATATTATAATATAGTATATTATACTATTAGTATAGTATACAAATAATATGTTAGTATAGTATAGTATACAAATTATTAATTTTGTAATTTATATACAATGAAAATAATATAATGGTATATTGGTATAGTATATTTGTATTCTAATTTTTAAATAAACTAAAATTACGCTAAATGTATAATAATATATGAGAGGATAATAAATTTAATCCAATTACTTTTATAAATATATAAATATAAAATCTATAAAATATTAAAAATGATATTATATTTTTAAAAACAAATATTAGAAAAAGGTTTAAAAACTAGTATTATCTTAAATTTATTAAAAGTATAATTAAATCTCTATTTTCTTAATTTTTTTTTTAAACTTCTCAATTCTACATTTTTGTAAGTTCTATCATTATATTATATCATCCTCATCTCCTCCCATGTTTCTACTTTATCTTTACAATAGTCAATATTCTTAACTAATTTATAGTTTTAATTATAATTTCTTAGTATATATTTTAAATTAATCAATTCTAATCTATTATTTGAAAAACTAATCAATTCTAATCAATAATTTAGAAAACTAATCGATTATAATTAATTATTTGAAAAAATTACCAAATATGATCGATCATTTCAAAAATATAATCGATCAAAATCAATTATCGCCGAGCGAGACTAGACTCGCTCAAGCTGAAATACACCCGAGAGTACCAATTTTGTGCAGAGGCGCTTCGCTCGAGCGAGAAACTTATCGCTCAAGCGAAATATAGTTTAGATAGCGTGCTACACAGAACCGCTCTTAAAAGCTCACTTAGATAGCGGTTAACCGTTGAACCGCTATTATATGGTTACCATTATGATCGGTCGAATGCAATTATGACCGATCATAACTATTTTAATCGATTAAAATCTAGTTTCAATCGATTAAAACAATTTCGCACGCTGCTTTAATCGATTAAAACTTATTTTTATCAGCTTAAAATAACTTGAAAACTTATATTAACTATTTTTTTTATATTATGTTTTTAAATTTTTTATTAGAGAAAACCTTTCGTAATTCAAAATGTTAAATACTTTTAAATATTAAAA